TACGACCACGGTGGTACTGCGGGAGATGCCGGCGAGGCTGGCGAGAGAACGGGCAGAGTGGCTGCTGTTGGTGGCACACCCCGACCCTGCGCGTGCCCCTTCGGTGGCACACCCCGACCCTGCGCTTGCCCCTTCCTCCACCCTTGTACTTCAGCTATTTTGGTTCCTCTTCTCCGAGAACTTGCTCTCTGGGAGGCCTGAGCTCTCTCCGTCAGTGCCTATAAATACCCACTGCTCCCCGGGGAGGCGAGAGCTGCGGGCACTGCCTGGCCGCCTGCCCCAAACCCGCTCCTCCCGTTCGCTCGGCTGCAGCCAGGAGCTGCTCCGTCTCCAGGGCCACCTGGATCCCGCTGGGTTTGGGGCACAAGCCACAGCCGAGGGTGGATCCGTGGGCACGGATCCCTCTGGCACAGGCTGGCTTTGGGTAGGGTTCTGCAGCCAAAGTGGGGAGCTGGGAGCTGGGGCTTTTCGTCTCTGCTGTGCCAGGGCGGGACACGGCATCGAGCACGGGGAAAGAATCGTTACCAGTGGACGAGGCAGTTCCCTCCGTGCAGGCGACACTGGTGGATAAAACTGATGCATTCCTTGAAGTGCCTCTTGCTAGGAGGAACAATAATGCAGACAGAGTAAGGACTTCAGGGACGGAACAGGAATTTTAGGCTGCAGGCAGAGCAGCCTGGGCATGTGAGCATGGGGCACTAACACAAACTGCCCGCTGCTTTACAGGCACCAGCTGCAGCTGCTGAGACCCGAGCAGCTCAGCGCTGTTGTTTCCCAAGGGAAGGTACAGGGGCCAGCTCGTGCCGTGCTGGAGCGGGTGCAGCCGTGCTGGGGATGTGTGGGGCTCCCCTGGGACTTGTGCTGGGCAGAGGGAGCTTGGCTGCTCGCACCTCCAGCTCTGTGCCTTCTGCCCGCTCTAGGCACCTCCTGGGGTGACACGCTGCTCCCTGCCAGCGGTGCTGCGGAGGGGCTGCCCCTCGCCTCGCCCCCACGCTGGGACCTGCTCAGTGGGGATGCTGTGGGGTCTGGACACGGTCCCCATGCTGGGACGTGCTCAGTGCGGATGCTGTGGGGTCTGGACGTGGTCCCCAGCACCAGGGCATCGTCCCTCAGCCTGTGGGTTGCTGTGCTTGAGGAGCTGGAGGCAGCACCTCGAGTGCTCCGGGAGCCCTCACCCCTGCAGAGCCCAGCCCTCCTGCGTGCCCTGCACTGGCCCTGGCGCCCCCCCGGGGTACTCACATGTTGGCCTCGGGGGTGTCAGGCAGCGGGATGCGGAGGTAGGTGATGTCCTGGAAGACATAAAGGGAAGAGGAGAAACTCAGGTGCTGTGGTTGGGGTGTTGCAGGTGCTGGCAGCTGGTCCAGCAGCACCTTCGCTCCTCGCCCCAGCGCTGCCCGTGAGGCTTTGCTCCCCCAGTGCAGCAGCCCCCGCGCCGGGACGGGGCGGCTCGCTCCCGTGGCGGCAGCGTGGGGAGGGCAGCGGGGACGGGCGGCAGGCGGGAAACGAGGAGGCTGAGGAGCTGGGAATAGTTTCCCGTTCAAGGCCACGCTATAGACACAAGATGCCCAGTTTCCCAGAGCAGGGGAGGCTGCCTAGCTCCTCTGGGAATGCTGGTGGGAGAGGGGAGAAGTGCCCGTGCTGTGGGTGCTCTGAGGGGGAAGGAAGATGCTGCAGGAATCCGCGGGACCCCACCTGCAGCAAGGGCTGGGGAGATTCATGGATCGAGACAATATGGGTGATCTTGTTCCGGCTTAGCTGCTCCAGGTCTTTGGCATCTGAAGGATAAAACTAGATATTAGCACGTCTGCGTTTCTTACCCGTCTCTTCCCACCAGCTCGCCCGCCCTGCTCCCACGGGCAGCCCCGCGTGCCCCACCACAACCCCGTGCAGCGGCGCAGGCATGGGCAAACCTGCAAACCCACCCCGAAAATCTGGAACGCAGACACCGTGATGGCAAGCCAGAGCCCTC